GGGGGGGGGAGAGGGGAAGGGGCACGCCGGCCCAGGGAAGGGCGGGTACGGCTCTAGTGGCAGTAAGGGTAGTTGGGGCAGGTGGACGGGGAGATGCCGTCGGGGTACTGCCTGGAGGAGAAGCCGGGCAGCGGCGGCGCGGCGACGGGGCCGGGGGCGCCGATGTGTCCGGAGCAGTAGGGGTAGTTGGGGCAGGAGGCGGGCGACACTCCGGCCGGGTACTGGGCCGCGGCGGGCACGCCGGCGGGCGCGGCGTTGTAAGGGTTGTAGGCGGGGGCGGGGTTGTAGTTGTTGTAGTTGGGCGCCGGGTTGTAGTTGTTGTAGTTGGGCGCGGGTGCGTACGCGGCCGCGTGCACGGGGGCGTTGGCGGCGCCCTGGGCGTGCAGCGCGAGCAGCGCGTTGTCGCAGTGCGGGTAGTTGGGGCACAGGTGCGGGCTGACGCCCGCCGGGTACTGCGCCGCCTGGGAGGCGACCACCGCCACCGCCGCCGCGAGGACCACCTGCAACCGAGAGGAGAAGAGAGTCAATCACAGCGCGATGTTGCGCCGGCTAAACGCCCTCGTCCGCTCCACTTGCTCGTCCCCGATGACGGGGTGCGTGGTCACGGTGCGTGGCCACGGGCGCGCGGCCGCGCTCTGGCGCCCTTTCGCAATCACTTTTCAGATTCGGACTGAACTCCACCGAAACCTGGTGGGACTCGAGAAAACACATGGGCATGCACGCGCTCATCGACGGGGAGTCCCCCCCTCCCCGAATATTTTTTCCAAAAAAACAACAAAACTAATTTTAAAAAAAACAACAACAACAAAAAACAGGACATTTGAAGAGCTTTTAAAAAAGTGAAACCAAATAAAAGTAGTTCGTGTTGAGCACTGGCGAGCACTTTGCGTATTCGATCTTAACACTACACTAGACACGGCACGAGGGAGCACTGCTTGAAGCACACAGAGGTGAAGTATCCACAAGGTGCTGGCGTTGGCGCTGGCGCCGTCGTGGTGCTGGCGGCGCTCACTCACCAGCTTGGAGATCATGGCGAGTCTGTTGGTGGGACTGTTGTCCTGTCGGGCTGAGAGGAGAGGGTTGAGTGCTGATGCTGCTGGCCGGGGGCGCGCCGTATATATAGCCCGATCGCGTTAACGCCGAGCATTGTCTTCCCTCCCCCTTGCCCCGCCC